ATCAGGATCGAAGAGAGTGGTCTACCAATTGAGCCATACGAGTGGTACATTGACTTGCGTCGTTATGGAACAGTGAAGCATTGTGGATTCGGACTTGGCTTCGAACGTATGATTCTGTTTGCTACCGGAATCGATAACATCAGAGATGTCATTCCCTTCCCTCGTTATCCTGGAAGAGCTGATCTTTGATTCTTCTTCTTCATACGCAAAAATTACAAAAACACAAATTTTATGTTTGATATTAGCTGGTCTGGTTTTGAGAACCGAGTTGGTTTAGTTTTACTTTTATGTTTACTTTGGTTAATGAGTGAAATGGATTTTGACTTTAATTTCATTTATCGATCTTGTTTTGCGCGGTTCCCCTGAGAAGCAAGTTTCTGTTATGCGAAAATCAAAATGTGAAAAATGGGATTATAATCACAAATATAGAACTATCTCACAAAACCGGACGGTTTGTGGTATTGTTGATTAAGCTTTATTGAATCGTGAGCCGTAACGAGAAAAAGCCCAGAATTATTTCCGTAAATTGAAGCGAATAACACGTGATATATACTTCAAGGTGAATATGAACAACACCAGTCGATATGTCCGAGTGGTTAAGGAGATTGACTCGAAATCAATTGGGCTTTGCCCGCGCAGGTTCGAATCCTGCTGTCGACGTTTTTCTTTTTTTAAAATTCTTAATAATAAATGGGAGATGAGATTTGAAAAACAAGTACATTTGAGTCCAACAAGCAGAGCCATGAGGACGATGAAGAATGTTACGAGAAGATTCTTCTTGCATCTATCTCTATCAATCTCCATTGCTCCTTCAAATAATTCATTCAGAGAAGGGTTTTTAAGTGTCTTCCTCGTCCTTCAATTTTCTAAAACCTTATTTCTGGGTCAAATTAGGGGCCTAATTGACTATATAAGCTCATGTCAACAAAACTGAGGAGCTGCCTCCTGATACGAGCTGGAACTAATTTCGTGAAATAGGGTTTAACCGGATTAGAAAAACCAAAAGAAAAAGCCAATTTAAAAACGAAATTTCTTTGAAAACTTGAGAAAAACCCAAATGAAAAGAACATAACAAGATTCAACCAACTTAAGGTCTTCATCAAGAAGAAGATACGTCTCTCCAATAAACTGCATCAGCAATTCAAGTCGCACTACAGAGAAAAGAAGTGAAATGTAAAGACTTTTGATAGAAAACAACAAAAAACAAAACACCAAAACTTGTTCTAGTGACAGTCTAGTAGTCTCTCTCAATCCTCCTCTTCAATGACCTTAGTGCCAAGTCCGCTGAGTCCTTCTGCTGGGATTTCAGCAACTGTAACAAGTGAGAAAAACTCTTCCTTTGCGTCTTCATCGTCGTTTCTCTTACGTGCAACACGAACCCTGATCCTCCTTGGTGGACCTCTGATTCCTCTGCTCCAAATTTGCTTGTTCAATTTCACGTCCACCCTAACGTCCTTGGTACCCATTGCTTTCTCTGCAAACTTCCTGATCTCCTTGATCGCATTTGGTGCCTTCTTCTTAAAGGTGCTGTTTCAAAGTTAACCATCTATCAGTATGGGACATTGATCTCATCAAACCAAAACTCATTTCACACAACGAGTTCCACACAAATCAAACCAGGTTCAGTGTTCTTAAAACAAATCAAACATTCTCTGGTCATGTTTTGAAAAATTGAATCCTAAACAAATAAGATTCCATGTAAGTTTGACATATTGTGGCTTCAAGGAAGCCTATAACAGCAAAAACGAACTAAAACAAGAATTGGATAAGGAATAACAGACAACATTTCTCCATGAATATTTAAAAGTCTCATTTCATGAAAAAGCTAATCTTGAGACATTAATCAAAGTATTTAACCAAATTATCGGAATCCAGCTACAACGATATGAAAGAAAAACAAGACTTTATTTCAATACAACGCTACGAAATGAAACCCAGCAAGTAGCTAAACCATAAACACAGAGAGTAAAGTCGGATCCTTTCTAACATCAGACACAGTAGGAAAATTAGGGTTCTGTATGCTCACCAGCTGTGAAGGCGTCTGTGGAGGTTGATGGTGTACTCTCTGGTCACCACTTCCTCTTTCCTTCCCTTAGTTTTCTCCGACATCTTCTCTTTCGTCTGTAACTTGCTTCTTCAAAACTCTTTACCTACAAATTATACCTAACAAAGATCACTTATTACAGAATTTCAATCGGAAACTAAACAGATCTGTTCACTGCTAGATCC